TTGAACAAATGAACTGCTAATGGTGTTTCTGAATCAGTGGTTTTTACAATATAGAAGCAAAAGCCTTCATTCTTTCTCTGCAAGCATTTCATAGTGCCCCCTTTCCTCTCCCACCCCTATTCTGTAAAGTGTTTTATGTAGGCAAATGTACAGCGGTAGAACATTGTGCTTTTCATTACAAAGCTAGCTTTCCTTCTCTACTATCGTGCACTCGACATATAAAGTATTTGTCGAAAAATAAAGTGTTTTGGCATATGACGTTCGTATCACTGCGTCAACAGCCGTGTAAAGCGTGGCTGTGATACTCGACTAGAAACGCGCACGAGTATCAGCGTTGAAGCAAGGTATAACTTCAATCCCTACATTCGCTATGAGAAAAAGAAACTTTGCCGCAAAAGCGAAGCAACGAATGTGATAACCAAAAAAAAAGAATTAAATGGTATACAAAGTAAAAGTAGCACCTAGCACTCCCGGATCCGATCTCGAGCAACTGTATTGCTGGTTTCATTTTTTTTCGTATATTTTTATCTTACTACTACAAATTGGTGATGAGTGTAATGCGTTATTTTATAACGTATGTTCGGACATGCGTTATACTTTCTTAATTTGATTTTTGTGTCCCCTAATTCAAAATAAGAATGAAATTCGTATATTTGTTTCACTTCAGCTGAGCAAATGTATGGATGGAGGGACCTCAGTCAGGCAGAGGTAATCTGCATTTAGTCTCTTCAACCTAAGCAAATCTTTGTTTTTGTCTAAATAAACAGTGAATGAACGAAAAAAGAACTACACAAAACACTAGTTTAAGGAAATACGGGTTCTCCATGGAGAGAATCAGTTATTATTTTTTTTTTTGCAGTCTGTCGTCTCAGGCGAAGTGGTGAGAGCAGAGCTCATAAGAGTATACGAGCTGTTTCGTTATATCTGCTGAGAATGCCGCGCTCCAGCGCTCGCTACCATGTCCTTATCATCAAATACTGGATCTGCTGCATGAGCGACGCAGCCCATCCATCCCCCAGGCCCCCCCCTTGGCGTCTCTTCATATTGATTTAGAAATATGGGAGGGGCGTTTCCTCGCTGCTTGAAAAGCTATCGACGGCAAGTCTCGCAGGTGTTATTGCGTGCGCCTACATTGCGACGGAGTTGGCCGGCTGGTTTCATCTCTGCTTGAGCCGAGTTCGTCACCAGCGTTCATACACTTTTATTGGCAAAGGGAACATAAAATCTATATGAACTTTATACGGAACATGACAGTGAAATCGACGGCGATGGCCAACTCATCATAAGTGGCCTTATAGTTTCTACCAAATATAAGAGCCAACGTTTTTATTTTGGAGTCAACCACTGCTGGACAGATTGCGTTTTTGATAAGTACAAAAGCTTGGCCAAAGGTGAAAATTTTGTGAACCATGTAAGTTTATCTACTAATAGTTAATGTTGTAGTATTATCCTAAATATTTGTTTGCATAACACAGACATAAAAGCTTCACATTCGGTCTAAGCAAATACAAAAAAAAAACTAACCTCCAAGAGTACCCTATGCGAAGGTCAATGTCTAGACCATGGGCGATCAAGAATGTTCAGGCATGGTGAAGACTTTAATCGATAATTAGGCATTCTTTGCATAGAATTAAATCTATAACCCTTCTTGATAATCAAGTGTGACGTCTTTTATGCCAGAGGTACCATTATTACAGAAAACTTGGACAAATAATAACACATCTCCCAATCGTCTCACTTAACACATATGTACACGATAATAATGAAAAATGCCCCAAGGTGCATACGCCTAAAAAGGAGGGTGAAATATTTGATTGCGTCAGCTGGCAAGGTGTGTGGGCTACTGGATAGTTGGTATAATGCATAAATAAGCACCGTAGACAAAATCAAGAAATAGTTCGGTTTTATGCCAACTTTTTCGAATGTTTTCAACACTTGTATGTGACTGCGTTATTGGATGGCTTGGGAATAATGCCAAATTATTCTAACCACCATGTCATCAAAATTAACAAGTTTTAGTTTTACGTGTTTCACTAATAAGCAAACAGCTGTCATTCTCTTTTTTCGTAGATTCTGCGGAAAGGCATTCTAGATATTGCGGTCTCTCTGTGGAAATATCTACTGCTCTCAAGATCCCGCAAGCGCAAATAGGGCTGGGAGATGGACAAAAAAATTGCGCCATCGCGAGCAGGCCACTTGGCAATAGCTGTCAACAGCCAAGGCCGACCTGCCCCGCCGCACCGCGCCGCAACCACAGCTTCGCGACCTGAGGCACTGCCTAAAATAGTGCTCTTTTAGTGCATTGCAATGCTCTTGAGGAGCCGATGCAGACCTGCTCGCCGGCTGGCCTATCTAGTGGCAGGTGTCAGCATCTCGAAACATAAAAGGAATTCATCGGCGAACGAATGGAGCGAGCGGGAATCGACGCATTTCGACGGTGCATGGTAAAGGCCCGACTAGGAGAAATGGCCGCTTTTATCTGGTCGAAATGGCTTCTTTTTTTCTTTGTTATCCGCTTTTGCTTGAGCCGCATTTGCAGCCGAAAACCGCGCGCTACAGAACCTCTTCCCCACATTCACCTGCCCCGTTTCTTGCTTTTTTACCGCGTGGAGCCGCTGGAGCGCTTTCTTCAGTCGTCGCTGCTTATCGGCGTCCTGAGGCTCGGTGAAGCGCGCCTCTTCTCCCACCGCTCGGTGGTAGCCATCATATCTTCGGTCCATTCTCCCCGAAAGGCAGTCTTCTTTCGCTTTTGTCGGTTCGAGTTAGGCAACGAATGCGGCTATGAGCACCCGTGAATTCACCTCTATCGACTTTGGCCACCACGTGCGAGCAGCCCCTCTTCTTTCGCCCTTAGTTGTCAGCAGTCCCGGGAGAAATCATGACTGGGCGCTTTGCTCGTGGCTCGATATCCCAGTGGCGCTCTCTCGTCGTCTTCCTTCGAGGGTGGTGTATAGAGCGCCTCTGTCTTGCCGACATAGGACGGACAAATGAATAGCTCCTCCGTCGCGCTAGACAGTTTGAATACGTGTGGAAGATTCTAGAGGCATCCTTTCACCTGTCTTGTCGACGCTGCTTTCTGTTTTTCTGTCGGCCGCCATCGGCGTTTTTTTTTTTCCCTCAAGATCACAAAGAGGCGCGGCTGTATGCGGTTCATTCTCGTTTTACAACGATCGAAACAGAAGTCGTTCGTCGCAGTTGTATTTTAGTTCCCTTTCCGCTTCATTCTCTGCTATCACTCTTATAGAACATCGCTTTGCAGCGTAGCCGCGAAGGTGGGAAGTGGGAATGGTTTGTTTGAAGAAAGTTTTCCTTTATCTGTCTGTGCCCAAGTTTCCCTAACGAGAGCTTTCATGTCTGCTTTTTCACACTGTCTTCTTTTTTTTTCCCTCTTGTACCTACGTTACTCGTAACTTGTCCTGCGAAAACATAAATATATATCGAGTGAGCTTGCGCAATTCCACGTTTCGTTTCCCTGAAGTTGAATGTGCTCGGACAAAAAAAGACAGAAAAACTGATGACGAAATGCTCTATTTGTCATCGCTTAATGAAACGACAAAAACAAAAGGAGTCACCATGTTTCTTTTTTTTTGTTGAAGCCAATAAATAAAGGCGTCTTTGCACTGTTGTGCTAACCAGAGTTATCTGACAGATTTCGGAATAATTGCTTCATTCTTTTCTTTTCACTTAGGTGCTTAAAACATGAGGGTGTACTCAGGCACGTCAATGCGCCTCCTCGTAGGGTGTCCTCCTGAGACTCTGAATTAGGCTCGGCTTCTGCGTGAGCAAAAAAAGATTAAGATGCCAGAAATTTTGCTTCTACCATAATCGTTTCTCATAGCGAGTTTAAAAATAAAGTCCTCCCCAATAAGCCGAGCTTTTAGTCAGCCTAACTTTGTCTATTTTATTGTCTCTTGTTAGATGGATATGTGGGGTTTAACGTCCTAAAACCACCATGTCATTATGAGAGACGCCGTAGTGGAAGGCTACTGTTTCTTGTGATCGTTCTGTTTCCTTTAACAGTTGAATTTATAATATAAGAATTATGTATAGTTTTGAAAGAGTTCCCAAGGACAATGACAAGGCCAGATTTGATTGCGTGGAAGCAATACACATAGCAGCAGCAAAACCTACGAAGCTTGGTACATCTGATCAACTCGGCTGTGCAAGTCTCTCATGTGCCACAAGAATTCACTTTCATCTCACCATCATGTCACCGTCTTGTTAGTATTGATGGGAGGGACTGATACTGCCATATTCGCCAACTGATAAAGTAACTGTTGCACGGAGAATGGGGTGACACCCAAACAAAATGGCACATGCCACTGTGACAGTCTTTCGCACATTTGCTTTCTTTGCGATGAATTGCCGATTCACTCAAGTATTCTCCCTGTTTATCCGCAGGGCGCGAGTTCGAATCCCGGCTGCGGCGGCTGCATTTCCGATGGAGGCGGAAATGTTGTAGGCCCGTGTGCTCAGATTTGGGTGCACGTTAAAGAACCCCAGGTGGTCTAAATATCCGGAGCCCTCCACTACGGCGTCTCTCATAATCATATAGTGGTTTTGGGACGTTAAACACCACATATCAATCAATCAATCAATTCTCCCTGTTTAGGAAGTTACACTGGAAATTGTCTTCGTATAATATCTACAAGCAATATAGTGGTGTAGCGCAAATTTGGGAAAGCAATGAGCGTTCAACAATAAAAATTACATCATCACGCTAAAATTGAGATAAAAATTCATTTGTCTCTTTTTTGTGAATCCTGACTTCCAAGTATATGACTCTTACTTAAGAGACACTTGAACACTCTTAGCCTATCTTTACACTCTCAAATGAGAGTCCTGTGACCCACAGTTCTCAATAATATGTTCTCAGTGGTTCTCATCATTATGATGTCCAATAAAAAAATGAGCTGTTAGATTTACACAAGAGTGTGCGCAATATATGCAAAAACACCAACTCTTGTTTCTAGCATTTCATTTTCTTCTTTTTGTTGCAGTTGGCATCATGTGACGGCGACTCGGAAAACATCGTTCGCCGTTTTCGAGTCGAGACTGGTGAGCGGTCAGACAAGGAGGAGGTGCGTATGGACGCCCCTTTTTTTTTAATTCACGAAGAATGTGCATGATGTCACGTATTTTACAACAAGTCATTGTTCTGTAACTTTCAGCTCCCATTTCGGGCAAAGTTTAGGCGATACAAATTAAGAGTGAAGAACTTCTTTTTTGCCGTCATCGCAATGATACCTTGTTTTCCGATTTTGGAGCGCGAGCGCTCACACGAAACTACACAGAAACTAGCGATGTACACAGAGTGCAGTCCTTTTTATCTCTTCCCTTTTATATGTTGGGTCTGTGTAACCGCCGTGCCTCCAAAATCTGAACTATATGCCGTATCAGTGAGAATTTCTTTCTGCGTTAGTAATTGCAAGTGTAAAGCGTGCGTATTCGGATATGTTCAGAGCTGGCTTACTGCTGTAGCACTGTGTATGCCGTTTATTGTGGAAAGATATTTTCTTGATGCAGATCCCTACATCAGTCAGGGTCGAAATCCTATGACATGTGTGAACTCCTTTCTATCAGCTTTTTCACTAGTTATTGAAGACCGCGGAATTCCACAGTGCACGAAATTTATTAAAATGCTCTGCCTTTGTCCCACGCTCAAATTTCGTAAGCATCTTGTCATTTTTCAAGTGATCCTTCCGCTTTCCTCAGTTCAGGGTAGCTAATTGGGCGTGAATCGATTAAAGTTCCTGCATATCTTTCAATGTCCTCTCTCTCTCTTAACATCCCTTGCCTGCGTTTCTGAGGCTCCTATTTTTACGCAACTCAATCGAATAACTTTTTGGTGTTGTATTACAACGTACGCGTAGCACTCATGGTTTCTTTTTTCACTGCCGTAATTGATCGCTCAGCGGTATACGCATAGTTGTATAAATAAAATTTCACGCCTTTACTTTCTTGAAGCCGCAGCCCCAATGATGCGTTTCTTCAATTGTTTATTTCTTTTTTATCGCGATAGCAAATATATGAACACTCTAAGCTGGATTTTGCCACCAGCGTCGGCGTCGCCGTCACTCACCGTATATGTATACTTATCTTTATATATGAAAATGCAAAAAAAAGAACCCAAAAAAACACTCTGGCGCGGAATAAAACGTGCGACCTCTGCGTCGTGAAAACACGGCCTTAACCACTGAGCCTCCCCAAAGCGTGTCCTTCGCCGTTCAAATGGCAAGCTATTTATACCTACCACTTACCGCAGTTCACGAGCATCTCGGGGGGAATTGTGTTTTCAGCGTTACCAGCAAGATGGCGCAATGATCACGCGTCGCCACATCGCGCGTTGGCGCCCGCTCTAATCTCCTACGCGTACTTTGCCCGGTTTAGAGAAGGGGAGCAACGCTCCCTCGCGTGTCCTTATCTTGTGGTGGTGAGGAGGGAAGGATCGTACGTCGTGGCTGGCCTCGGGCTTTACCTCTAATAATTATGTTGTAGTTACTGGGCGTGCAAAGGTCACAGCAACCATTGCAGTCACCGTTTGCAAAAAGCGCGATTTTCAGACACAGCGAAGTAACAAATGAGACGCTTATTCGCGTGCATCCGTACCTGTGAGTACGTTTCGTGCGTAATTTGTGCGTGAGGAACGCGGAGCACGTTTGGATCTGCTTTTCATTGTGCATGTGATCTTTCAATTTGTTGCTGTCGCGTTCATTGATGCGCCATAGCGGCGCAAAGCTGTGACTTTTTTTATCGTGTCACAAAGCTTTATACACTCCAAGAAGCAAAGAAGGAAAAAGGGGTATCGAGGTTTCTCCTTTATAAGAGTAACTAAGTTGCCACATTCATTGCACCATCTTGGGAGTAACTGTGAAAGAGTAACCACGCTCTCGCGGTTACTCCTCAAAGGAGCAATAGTTATAGCAAAAGAAAAGTCAGGATTTCGTTGGCTTAACAAGCATTTCTAAGTGCACGCTGGCATTTAATTTGACGTATAATTGATGGGCAAGCATTGCATTCCGAAATAAATTACGAAAAATCGGCAGCAACCATAGGGAATTCGAACTCCCGACCACTCAGTCAGCACGCGCGTACACTAACCACTACACCACACCACGCTACGGCACTATCTGAAAGAAAACAGGCTTGTGTATACGCACCGATGGGTCGTTTGCACATGGCGCGAACATTCCTGTAGTTATTCCAAAAAAACGGGTGCTCTATTCTACAAGGATTGATTGATTGATTTGTGGGGTTTAACGTCCCAAAACCACCATATGATTATGAGAGACGCCGTAGTGGAGGGCTCCGGAAATTTTGACCACCTGGGGTTCTTTAACGTGCACCCAAATCTGAGCACACGGGCCTCGACATTTCCGCCTCCATCGGAAATGCAGCCGCCGCAGCCGGGATTTGAACCCGCGACCTGCGGGTCAGCAGCCGAGTACCTTAGCCACTAGACCACCGCGGCGGGGCTCTATTCTACAAGGAGGAAAGTGCCCCCTCTTGCCAAGCCTTGTGCAATCTTTTGCGCTCATTCTGTCTTTAGGAGGGGCGAAGAACCCTTTTCGGGGGTAACTGCGCAGTTCTGCTGCAAAACTATTTAGAATGAAAGAAGCCTACAAGATTTGATTGTACGATCATTATAATAAGTAAAGCTAAAAACAACCACATGAAGCGTACGCTCTGAATTGATATTTATTCCCATTAAATCATACAGGTTGCACGTCTGAACACTTACAAGTAAATCTTGATTGGGCGCTTTCAACATAATTATTGATCAATGTATTCACGTGGTCGAGAGAACACTGAAGTCATTAGCTATGTCAAATAATACGCTTTCACACTCCCTGTTCGAGTTGGTAAATGACATGACGCACTTAATCTGGCCAGTCGTTCCCAACATGCAATATCGATAGTGCAGTCCCCGACAAGATAGGCGACGGAGACGGTTGATATATGAAGTAGGGTCTCCTGGATTCTAATTGATGGGCAGCCTAAGAAGCTCTGTCACATGTACGGTGTTCTTTGCCCATGCATGAGGAAGCTCGCTCCGCGTTTTTCGCCTCTCATGAGCGGAAGGCAAAGGAAAGAGATGGCGTAAGGTGTGTCATTATAAGGGAAACTAAAGTAGTTACACCTACAGCTGTAACTTCGTATGGGAAACTAAACGTTCCTGGCTGGTACGTGCCAAAACCGTGGTTTTAGTGAAGAGCGTGCCAGAGTGTGGCGTGCACCATAAATTTCATTCACGCGGGGCTCTTTAGCTGGCGCCTAAATTATAGTATAGGAGCGTTTTCCTTCGCACTCATCGAAATGTAGCTGCTGTGTTCGGAGTCGCGCCCTCGGTGTTGAGCCCGACGCGTGCGATGACACATCCACCCAGCTATGCGCGACACTTTTTCCAAAGTATTTGTGTCGTCTGCGGAAAGTGCAGCTATCCCATTTATTTGGTTTCCTTGCACTAATAATATAGTTAGTTTTAGTTTTGCGTATAAAACACCTTATTTTATGGAATCAAACTTTTTTTACAACGATAAGATGTCGTGAACTTAAAGCGCTCTTCTACGTTTGCCTTCCGCATGTGCGGCCGGCCGAGTACGAACAGCTTTTACAGAAAAAATCCATTCAGTTTGTAGTAGGTCGTTAAAACACTCATCGTTCAAAGGCGCGTACAAGACTACAAAGCAGAAATGTAGATTTACAGCCATCACTATCCATTGAACGACTCGTTAAAGCACGTCCACAGTTTACCAGTCGGTTTCGAGAAAGCAAGGTCGGGTGTTCGCAAGTACAGATAATTTCAATCAATCAATCAATCAATCAATCAATCAATCGATCAAAGAACTTTATTTTCACCAAAAACAAAACATTTATGGTGAAAAAAGGTGGCCGGGAAAAAAGCTCTCCAATGACAGCTTGACAAAGCCCTGCAGCCACCCAACGGCGGCGAAACGACAGGGTACAGCACATCTTCCTCAATATATCGACAGGATCTTAGCAGGGTGATTTAAAAATAAATAAGCATGTTTATAATGTCCGTGCCTATTCGCATGTTGGGCTAAGAAACCTTGACATTCATTTTAAATACAAGTACACCGTCATTTTCTTCATAGCGGCAGCTTCTTTAATGCTTGAACATCTTTAACAACTCGACGGCACAAGTTCAAGAGCACAGCCGATTCGCAGTTCTATACTTAACTGTCTCCCACGAAGCGGTGGGAGCTTGTTTGATGGTATAGTGACCTGCAACTTTACCGCGTGGTTCTAGCGTGTTGCTCGGTGCCGGAAATAGGACTTCAGAACGGGAACTTTTATACACCTGCACAGTGTAGCATTTCGCCATTGAAGCTCGTATGAGCGTATACGGCGTTGTTACTCGCCTACGAGCTTCCCATGAGCACAGCGATTCATCTGCTACTGCTGCAATAACTATAAAAGCAGCAAAATATCCTAGTACTAGCGCCTTCAAAACGCTTGTGGTATATGTGTAGCACGGATACATGCGCGGAATGTTCTCCCCGTCTGCCGGTGACAGTTCTTTCAAACCGTCAAGGCGAGTGCTAATGCGTATTGCAAAAGGGCTTCATGCATGCGACACGCACAAGTGCTTTCCGGTGTAGCTAGAGCACGCGTTCTATCGAATCTAATTTTAGAGAAGTTGAGTCGGCATTGATACATGCTTCGAAATAGTTTAGTCATGGTCATTAAATAAAAAAGCACTGAAATGGAGTATTGTTAGGCATGATCACGCATCCGGCCTCAAAGAAGCAAGTCTATTTAATTTGACTTGAAAAAGCCTACAGCAAGGACAACGCAACAAGAGTGACATGCGGACCGGCAGTGGTGTGGTATTTGCCAAGCACTGAACATAGTAGACGACAAATATTATAGTGCTATCTCCTTTGTTTCTTAAGGATGCTGAAAAAAATTTCAGTTGTCGTTTGCTTGCGTCAAATGAAAAGTAAAGATCTCAAGAGCCTTGACGCTGGTTGGCGTGAGTGCACACTGAAACATTGTTTACGTCATACTTTTAAAAGCTACACTCTTAATGGGCTTCTGCTTAAAGTGTGAGATATAACCAACACACCGGACAATGTTCGTCTGGTTTCTTCGACATAGCCTGCATTTAAGGACTTGATTGTTAGTGTCATTTTGGCTCCTACTGCACTTTCACATCAGGACGCCGCGTCAGCTTCTCGCCACGTGCTCGAGCAAAATAACGTGCCGTATCCGCAGATGCTGTGCACCGTGGCTCCGTTTGAGAAGCACAAGCGAAAATATTGAATGTTTTCGTACCTGATGTCATCACAGTGAGCCATACTGGTTCGTGAAGTTACCAGCATTGATATTGTAGCCTGACGTCTTTCTAGTGTCAACACACACACACACACACACACACACACACACGCGTTCGTTCATACATACATACATACATACATACATACATACATACATACATACATACATACATACATACATACATACATACATACATACATACATACATACATACATACATACATACATACATACATACATACATACATACATACATACATACATACATACATACATACATACATACATACATACATACATACATACATACATACATACATACATACATACATACATACATACATTTGTGCTCAGCGAATATCAGGCCCTCTATCACAGCGGCACGTAGAAATGTGGAAAAATTTTTTCTTGTCACCACTCCTTGAAATCGTGACGCAGTTGTTTAAAAGGGGCAAAGATTATGCGGTTCAATAGTCGGCAAAACTAAGCGCCACACTGTGAGTAAGTTTTGCAACAGCAGCCCTTTCAAGTGAAGTGTGGTGTTGACGTGCGTAATAATAAGGCAACAAGACATACGAAAACGCTTGTGGGTGGCTTTTCTTCAGAAAAGGTATACAGCATCGCGCCATCTACAGTAGACCTTATTCTTTTTTTTTCGCATGTTGGGCAGTCGCTTACTGTAGCCCGCGTGTACCGCCGAAGGTAAGCTACGTTTTCTTCAAAAAGATTATGAGAGTGTGCAACTACGTTTGCGTACCTACTTTATTTGTGCGCAGAAAAGTACCAATTTTTCTTTTTTCTACAGTTTATACCGCCTATAATAACTTGTTTTGTTACTTCAAGCAACGTTTTACGCTCGTTTCTTTGTCGCTTTTTCAGCTGCTCGATTACTTTGTGTTCAAATCTTCGTTCATTTGATTCAGACACTATGGAACCTTTTTCAGGCCTTTTGGACGCAGGGAAAGGATGAAGTCTGCGTAAGTTTTGTTCGTTTTTTTAGCGTTTCTTTGTACACACCAAAGGGAGCCACATTCGACAGCCTTCTGAAGGCTCTTAATGGTTCTCGGCTCGATTTCGCGAATTTTGTGTGGCGTCATGTTTTTTTTGTCATTGTGTCTCTTTTATTCGAATGACCATGCTTTGGAGAGGTTACTCGCTACGTCTCTTTAGTGTCTCTTGTTTTACTTAATTTTTCTTCGAGCTTTTGTGAGCGCGAACTTATGCTGCCAGAGCAAACTGTTTCAGTACAGCTTCTTCATGTGCTTCACGTTTTACGACACGTGTTGACTTCACAAAACAACCAGCTTTTCCTATTTTTCCCTTATTTTTGATGACTAACACTGGAAACCAGTGCTCGGGAAACGAGACCTTGCCTATTGAAATTCTTCACCATCGGTGGTTAAAAGGGAACTCCGGTGTATTTTAGGCTATAGTTAGATGACGCCATTTTCAAATCGTATTAATAGCCCTAGAGCAACTAGGGTGCTTTATTTTTCTGAATGAACCTCGATAATGTTAAATAAGCAAGAAACGATGAGTATAGACCGAAACAGAGAGGTTCTCTATGCTTGGTATGCGATTACGCCACAAAACCACGGCTGACTAAGGTGTACTATAAGTAACACATGTGCTTCTTCTGTCGCGCGAAAAGCAAGCTGGCGATTTTATTTGACATGAAGTCAAACTGTGCCAGCCCGTCCGAACTTACAAGTGGCAAGTTCAACAATGACTTCAGCTACTACGGGAATGTGGAAACATCGTTTTTTGATTTTGACCCGCCGGCGCGTGAAGTTCCTGACACTCCTCGCATTGATCTCCTTATTGCTTAATGTTACTGTAAGACCCGATGTCAACGATGACCAACTCGCTATGTAGCTGACAAAACCAAACTGTTCTCGTGTCGTCGTCACCTCACAGATGACAGCGTCCGTCTGCCGGGCAAGGTGGGGTTGAAAAAGAGTACGCTCGTTACGTCACATACACGGGGTCACCGCGTTTCCAAACGTGATTTAGGAATTGGCTACCAATTTTAAAATTCGGTTTATGAATAACTAACACTCTTATGGTTTATAATTTGACACATATCATCATGATGTCATGGAGAACATATGCTTAACTTTTTATCAAAGTTGGTGAGTATAAAAAAGTGCTGGGGTTCTCCTTTAAGGAAAAGCATAGATTATTTAGTTTATTAGAATGAACAGTTTCAGTGTAACTGTACACGTACAGTGAAGCGTTTAAGCACCACCAGTTAACGTATACAATGTTATAGCCTTTCCAGAAGCTCGTTTGTCATATGAGCGCTCATATATAGCCATGAAAAAAGTAGCAAGACAGCTGCGTTAGCAAACTTCAAAATTAGAGGACGGAGGTGGAGGTGCGTTTAATTAAAGCCTAATTGACTTTTAACCTTTGACGTAATGGTGACCGCTCTCTGAAAGGCAAGTTAAAGCATATCATTATTAAATTTGCGTTATTCATGACAAGCCTTTTGATAATGAAGTGCGCCCATGGCCATCATACTGTTTTTTTTTTTTCGCGTGCGACAGTTATAGTTGCGTTTGGCGCTAGGTAACGTCTTCATAAAGGAGTGCATCAGTAAAATTATTATATCGTCCAACAATAAATTATTTACCAAGTAAATAAAGGAGTTTCAACCACTTTTCATTGAGAATGTGTACCACTATTCGCTTACTATGTACAAGCACAATATATTAGTTCATAGGGCCATTTCTATTGTGCATGAGGGATTAAAAATGGTTGTTAAACTTCACAATTTTAACAGCTTGTTAACGTATATGAACCGAAGTGTGTGGCTTAAGCTTACACTAGGAGAAGAGCCTCAAATAATTAAGTTTTCTCGACAGCTTAAAGCGTAATTAGGTGTGCTCATTTGAACGAAAGGTGTGCCACTTGCTGCCTGAACCAATGAAAATTGGTTCATGCAGCAAACGCTGATTTTTTGTTTTTTTGTTCTTGTGTTTCAAACAATTTTTTCTAGCTTAGTATCGTCATCTTAGCGCCCTTTTATCACGTAACCAATGCAATGAGAAAAACGCAGAGGTGTGTGCAAGATTTTAAACTGAGGTTGAATTTTGAGTTGCTTAATTGTTTTTGTGTTTTGCTTAGAAGTGTGTGATGCATCGCGCACAGTACGCGGAGCACGCGTACTTTTTAAAAGCACTTTGTTAGGCTCCGAGTATACCAGAACGGCTATGAAAGTAACGGAGGAATGAATACATGTTTCGTCGGGCGTAACATTAGTGAAGGGTTACAGTATTTGTCGTTTGTGCTGACGTTAGTGAGAACGCTAAAATTATGTTTTCCTGATCTTTCCATGCAACACTCGACACCATTATCTGCCCAGTTTTTGAAGGATAAATGCATAATTACAGTGAATCAAGAAACAAAAAAAAAGAGAACGTTGAAGCCACTCCAATATGTGCAACACCACCTAGTGTTGCTGTGTGTCACCGCCCGCCGACAGCTATGGAAAACAGCCGCTCAGGAATGGTTTGTTGGTGGCCCGTGGGCGTAGCGGTTGATTTGAAGATGCCGTTTCGTCTACTTACTTTTCTTGTATTATTTCAACAAGGCGTCGCTCGTTTTTTTTAATGAGAAAACAGATATATAAATCGTTTTTATGCGGCCATAAGCAGATAGCAAGGCGAAAAAGATAATGATAAAAAAGAACGTTAGCCATTGACCCACGCACGCCCTTTCAATACGCTGACGATGACTTATAAATATATACATACATAAATGCGTACATACATACATACATACATACATACATACATACATACATACATACATACATACATACACACATACATACATACATACATACATACATACATACACGCATACATAAATGCGTACATACATACATACATAAATGCATACATACATACATACATACATACACGCATATATAAATGCGTACATACATACATACATACATACACGCATACATACATACATACATACACACACATACATACATACATACATACATACATACATACATACATACATACATACATACATACATACATACATACATACATACATACATACATACATACATACATACATACATACATACATACATACATACATACATACATACATACATACATACGTATGTAGTAGGTCGTATGTACGTACATCGATGTGCCTTCATATCCCGTCTCTCACATCTCTTTTTCTTGATCGTCTCACGTTATCACTTCAGGCCAGAGGAGCCCCTTTTGCTCGATTTGCCCGCAATCTTATATTCCGAGACTTCGGTACTAGGATTGCCGACAGCACTGCGTCTCGCGCGCGAGCCCACAGGACGCTCGAGGCCGATTCAGGATGCTGTTTTTTCTGACCGGCACGTCTCTGATCGATTCTGAGCGTATTGACACAGCTGAGTCTGGGCGTACGAGTGGGTCCGACAAAAAAAAAAAAACCGCCTTCTTCATCTTGAAAGGCGCCTCCACGGTGCATCCTTTTCATCGGCCGTTGGTGCTGATTTTTTTGCCAGCCTCGTTCTGTGTCATCTCTGCAGACTGGGAACGAGTGGACGATGGCAGGCTCCGCTTTTGATAGCGCACCTCTTTTCCGAGCTGCGCCATTGACGCAAAACGGGGCTTCCTATCCGGACCGCCGACATTCGCCGGCCGCGATGAGACCGCGCCTGTGCGGCCACTCAATCTTGGCCGCCGCGTGAACAAAATCACGCCCAACGACTCCTTTCAGGCGCGTGAATGTGTGCGCCGCGCGGGGACGTGAGAAGCCGCGAGCAGCTGAGGATGAAAAGAAAGAGCGGCCGCAATTTCGTCATCGATCGTGCCAAAAGTGACACTTTTGCGATCTTATAGCTTTGGGGATGCTTCTTTCAATGCAGCTTCGACTTCTGACTGAATGTGCAGCTCTGTTAAGCGCGGTACATGTGACGCATATGTGCCTGTGGAGGTATTCTTTTCCTCTTCCCTTCTATCTAAACATGCCCAACTCAGCAAGTTGTCACATACGCGAAGCGTACATAGTATACACTCTCCATCGGAGCCTTTTCATCTTCTGGCGTTAGTGGCCGATGCCCGTGTGCTTCGCAATACCTGTAAACTTTCCCGGGAAACACGAACGAGGATATTTCTTGGCCAGTGTGATCTGTTTTCTTTGCTTGTGTGTGGTGGCGCCCCGGTATACTCGGTCTGTGTTCACCGCTGGCCGAGGACGTCAGCGTTTCTCACAGCTGCCTCTGCTCTGTCCCCCTTTCTGTCCCTGCGGCCCCTTTCGATCGCCGTGCCCCGAATGATCCCCGCGGACACCTCCGTTCCCCGGCACCTGCTACTCAGAGCTGTGCCAGCCGGCTCGCCCGTGCGCCAACCGAGGAAGCCCTCAAAGTAAACGGCAGTTCTCTCTGTTTGCCTCCTCCCAGCTGCAGCGACGCCCTCTCGCGGTCGGAGCTTCGAGCCTCCTCCTGTTTGCCTTACACTCCTGCGCTGCGCCAGCGACCAGAAAAACGACGCTGCACTATACCGCTTCCTTCGCTTGCACTCTTCGCGCGCCTCCTGACGTAAAGGGATGAGTGGGGGCTTAGACCCGGCTTTTGCCCGTCAAGCGGGCCTTAATTGGGACAGGGGGTTTTTGGTCACACCTTTCTGTTTGTTTGTTTTTCTAGCAAGAGGAATCACCAGAGTGAAGTGCAAGGAAAGAACCGTAATTCTGCGCGGCAATCATCGTGCACAATTAGGGAAAACACAAGGGTGATGCCACAAATTAACTGGGGCACTGCTTATGACAACAGTTATTGGAAGTTGTGCTGTGTATGCAATTATTGCTTTACCTTTGTCTGCTCTTCTCGCTTGGCGCTTTTTTTGTAGATTAAACTTCGTTGATCTTTTGCCAGTATATTAGACGTTTCTCAAGTGACCCCCTTCTTAGCGCGAAGCACTCTCACTACAACGGTCACATTGCACTGGAAACTCACATTTGCTTTTCGGTGCCGCCTTCACATTCGTGTGTTGCTCTCAAAGACCACACGGCCTTACGACAATCATCTACATGCTAAAAATAAAAGCGAGGGATGAGATCATCGAGTATTTCTGAAGTAATGAATGCCGTTTGAAAGAAACTTCCGGTAACACGAAACGGCTCGTTCATACGTGATACAGCTATTACTTGATATTCTAACGAACCCTTAACTCTCTCGCATATAAGAGCCGTAAGTGAGGCATATCGATGAATGGCTGGGCGTGTAGAATCGTGCAGCATTATCTGGTCGTCGCAACGCCGGCAGCTGTGTGAACACGTGCAACAGCCGCCTTACTTGTGCCTGGAGTATTTATTAGGAGGAGAGACTCGAAGCGCCGTATCACGTGCGAGCTCCACAGCTAAGCGGAAGGTTGCAATCTGTGTCACTGGTAGAAACCACTTCGGGCATCGCGTACACTTGTGCAACGCACTGTCGACATTGTCCTGCACCTGCACATTCCCCATTCCACGTGCGTTCTTAAAGAATGCTGTTGATGAGGTTGCTTCTGAGAGCACTGATTTAATCAGAACAGTGCCATGGTTTCGGAAAGACGGTCAGAGGTGGGAGGTGATTAACTCCACCATCCAATTCGATTGGCTAGTGGATGTGCATCTTTTTTTTCATATTTGAAGTAGACTACAAAAACGGGCTAGCTGGAGAGTGGTCGACGTTGAAATCAGCGCACGCCATACTTATTTTTCTGCTTTTTCACGCTGTTTTGTTATGATAATTCCATACACCTTCCCCGTCCCTATAATGCAATCTAACGCACAATCTGACACACGAGCCACGAAAGAGAGCACGTCGTGTTGTAGTGTAGAAGCAATTGTTACTACGTGGCATGCGCTTTCATGCATCACATATAGCTCTAATGCCTGCATCTTTCGTGGAGTTCACGTTATGCAAACGAAAGCACACATATAACGCGGTACGTCACCCTACAAAGGGAACACTGCGAATAGTGCTATAGGTGGCAGATTGATTTACAGGCACCGCATGCCAGGGCACTTTCGACTACCAAAAAACTTTCTCGTTTGCTATTGTTCTCTCGCTGTACGCAAGACGACGCTTTTTTTTTCTGCTCTGCAGCTGTTTGGTTCACCGAGTACACCTGTGCTGGAGAATCCCGAATACCAGACCCGTTGGTACTTCAAGTACTTTCTTGGCAAACGTAAGTGCAAGTTCATCTTCTATTTGCTTTCGTTTGTTTGTTCTACTGAACAATTCGCGAACTCTTCTGGCCCCTTAAACTTGAACGATATCTTAAGATTTTCCAGCATGTGTCAAAATCACTGAATTGTGCTAAAGAAGTAAGGCTTCCTTTTTAAATGACAAGATTCGCGTGCGCAATATCCTGGCAGTGGACACTGGACACTCTTTGGAGAAAATGGGAGCACTCGTGAAGTAAGACTGAAACGTCCTCGATCCGTACTAGACTTTACTGCCACCTTGTGTGTCCACCATCAGCTTTCACCTTGTGTGTGTGTGTGTGTGTGTGTGTGTGTGTGTGTGTGTGTGTGTGTGTGTGTGTGCACGCGTGCGTGTGTGTGCATGTGTGTTATCTTCTGTTCTGTCAAAAGTGCGACGAGCGACGTAGCTGACTGTCCCAATCCTCATGCAGTCTCCTACTCTAGTTCATTTTGATGTAAACAGAAATGCGTACTGGTTTCTTATATGGCGGAGCAGCGCAGACCAATGAACAGAGAAACCGGACAAGTCGTTTTGAGGCCTTTGAGAAGATTGTTTTGTTGTCTGAACCTATTCCGTCATTTCTTTAATGTTATTCTGCGGTCATGATGGCCAGCGTAATACACGTAACTCCGCGTTTACATGTCAGAAACTTCGTGCTGCTTGCACTTCGAAACAAATAAAGCGCCTCGTAACGCATTTTCTTTAGATTCCCATCTGTGAATCAGGGCCAGAAACTATGCGCTATTATTATCCAGTCAGGGCATGCAAATAGCCGCACAATAAAATCAATTGTGTCAGTTGTATATCAAGCGAAACCAACATGCAATATCGCTGCCATGAAGGCATGTTGTGTGCCGAGTTCTATTCGAAAACAATGCTCTATGTGTTAATCTGCCAGCAGTGTGCGTAGCTAGGCAGGGAGGGAAGGGAGCTCACAAAGAAGCAACCACAGGCCCCTTCGATAACTAGGTGATTGTTTAAAATAGAATATCTTGAATAAAACGACGTGCGACAGCACACCACCAACATCCCACCGCTTTTACCATCCCTGTTAAGTGGGAGCCCCTGCCTGAAATAAATAAATAAAATTTCCCGTTACTCCATGGCTCTTGATCTAGCCCCTAGCTTTATGAAGATTGATTGATATGCTGGGTTGAACGTCCCTAAACCACCATACGATTATTAGAGACGCATTAGGGGAGGGCACCGGAAATTTTGACCACCTGGGATTATTTAACGTGCACCCAAATCTGCAGCCTTATTAAGAATAAAGGACACCTACAGACATGTCGAACTGAATAAATTGTAAATTCGTTTAAATTGGCGAAGTCAAATGGCTCAAAATCTTCTAACTATTGCAGCTAGCTGGCCCAAAAGAAGCCCTTATGCTTAGCGGAAAGGAGAAACGCAAGCATTTTTGTCCGCGTCGAGTCACGTGTTGACACTTAATGCCCGCAGCTTGCCGTGACAAGCATTCATACATGTTCCTCCAGGTAAAACATCTCGAGTCAAGGGCGCTCGAGTCGCCTATTTGGATACAGATGAATGGAGCTGTCGAAGTCGCTTTTTTCGAAAATGCCGTCGACCGAGTGCGCCTGTGTTTGACTCGCCCTCGTATCCCGTTGAGATCCCGCACTCTTGCCAAACTCGTTCTGAGACTTGAAACATTCCAAACAGGCGAGCGTCTAAATATGTAAGCAATGACGCCGTGGCATAATGCGAATGACAAATTTTTATTGGCGTTTTAACTTGCAAAACATCTATGAAAAAATTACCATTAGCGAATGTTTTTGTTACTACGTAGCTTGATACTGTCTATTACCGAACCCTGACCTTACTCACAGAACATATTTAAAACAAAGAATTTTCATTTGATACAAGATCCATACAAGCTCAAGCCTAGCAGCTATAAACACGAAAGTTTGCACGCCTCGAATATGGATGCTGTAGAAAAAAGAGCCACTGAAGCATAGCAAGTAAATTGAGCAAGCAATCTGCAAAAGAGAAATGTCTTAGAAAGGCTGACAATGAACGTCCCGATTCCTCGAGGCTAAAACCACAGATGATGAACCACAGAATAAAAGTGACCACTTGGATGATATCTTAGAGTTTATCGGGAAGGCACTACGGGTAGAAAAATTAAATTATCTGCAGTTGTGCATGTCGAAACCACAGAACAACTATGAGGCGCATCGTAGCAGATGGTTAAAAGAACTTTTTTGGGGACGAGTTGGTGCACGTTCATACATGATTTTGGCACAAAAAAAAATGGTTATGTGATTGCATTTCTTCGCATCTCAAAATCAACTATGTAGTGGAGAGTTTTGGAAAACTTGTTCGCTTGGGGTCCTTTGATGTTAACCTAAATCTATGTACACGTAACTCTAGCATTCTGCCTTCATCAAAATGTGACCGCCGGCTTCGAATCCACAATTTTCGGATCAGCAGCAGAGCTCTGTAGCAACTGTAGCCACTGTAACAGTCTTCCCTCTGGCCAGACGCCAGAGGGAAGACTGCGCCCTCTATCTAGAATAGAGGCCCGTGGTGCAATAGAAAAGCGATGGATGACTTTCCTGATGGGCACCAGTAAGCGCCACCGGAACGACGACCTTCTATGCCCGTGTTTCTTCGTACGGAGGATTATACTTTTGTACAATATTTATGACGTGCCTGATGTCTCGTATAGGACAAGGAAACGCCCGGATGAGAGTTAGCGTTTTCCCCTTCCGGCGGTGCTTAAACCTTTACTTCCTAGGACCACTCGCTTTCTGGAGAAAAGACAACATCCCCCGTTTCGCCTTTTCTCACCGGACGTTTGTTTGCCTGCTCCGGTACCGCAAGCCAAATCGCCACGGGAAGCCGCACACATGGAAGCCGCAGGCGCGCACGCTGGCACGCTTGCTCGTCTTGCTGCGTTTGTATTGTCCGTCCACAATGACGATGCTCGAATACGTATGACTTCCTTTTTTTTTTCTTCAGTGGTACGCCATTCACTTCTGGTTGTCATTTCTCCAGGCATTCTTGGCACAGTTTGTTCCTCAGAACGCTCATTGCGCACAGCATTCACGGCATTGCGTTGTGTTCTCCCAGAATTCTTGGGCGCTTTATATTCTTCCTGCTCACGTACCTACCCTCCAGCTCAGTAGAGCTCACCATCTGCTGTCAGGTTAGGCACCACTGGCAGACATAACCGCCAACACACGTGTGCTTCAGCGAGCAGCTCGGTGCTTGGGCGCCTTTTCCGAAGGAAAAAAAAAACGCACGATGACAGAGTGGCTGATATAACAGGTCACGTTCTTTCGCACCGTTACTAGGGCCCGATTGAACCAAACTTATTTTCAAGACCGTGCCACCCTTACTTTTACCGCAGCTTGCAACTGTGCAAGGATTGTTGCCCAGAGACTCGTCTCACGCCTGGCTTCGTTGTTTTCTAGCTTACAGCCACATTTGGGCGCGTTACATAGAGATAACCGTAAAAAAAAAATGCGTTGCACACATTGACGGAATTCAAGGGCTGATCTTGTTTGGGTATAATAGGAGGCGAAAATATGTATCAATTGTGTGTTGCTATATGCGTGTTCTGATCAGGGGCTTTGGAATACAAAAATGAAGCAACTTAACGAAATTCACAAAATATCGGGGCTCTTATCATCTACGGAAAAATCTTGACGAAAGGGTGATTTAGGTGGCAGCCTCCCATCATCGAAGAATCTCAAATTAGACCGTGACAGGTTGAGCGCCTTTAATCATGAAGGCTCGTGGCGGCCATACCAAGAGATCTAGTGGTATTGCAGCACAATTGATGTTATTAGCTTAGCGTCTTATATCGAGTTAGTTGGTACATAGTTGTATTCTCTAATCTTCTTTTCTCTTGGGCTGTTTCATCATCCCAGTTCAAAACTCATCAGCATCCAGCAATGAGAATGACAAGTGGATGTAGCTTGTAGATGGCTTCGACGCTGTTATTAAGTCTTAAAGCACAAGAAACTTGGCTTCTGCAGTTATGACTGTGCATTTAGCCGGTATCTGAGCTTTACAGACGCTACAGGTACTGTGTATTAAAAAACCAAGGCAGCTACCAACTTCATTTTGGTAATTTTAAAACGAACCATCAAAATGGGTTTATTGCCTAATGACAGCGGTCGCGAGTTCATTCTTGCTGTTTGTCTTTGGCGAAATACCGCGTCTACGCGGGACTCAACAAGGCTGAGCAAATGATGCTTGGAACGCCAATAGGTGTTGTATAGAACGGCTCTACTTCGTTTGTGGGCTTTTCATTTGAAGACATGTGAGAAGCTCCAATCGCTTAGCAAAGTCATTTTATACGTACTGCCTCCAAGCTGTTTATTCGACTCTGTAGTGTTAATATATTCGGCAGCTGGTATCAAATGAGGCTTGTTCCGTCTGCGGCGTCAAGTTTGATCTTAGGCATAGAATTTTCGCATAAACGTAAACCTTCCATACAAGAAAAAGCGTTAGCTATTTCCACTGATATAACTGCAGAACATTCAAGTACACGTCACCATTATATAATTGTAGATGATCGCGATGAGGAATGCAATACTTGTGGTAAGGCAAGTTGGATAGCCTGCAGTATCCAGCGTCAACGGTGTTAGCTTCCGCCTCAGTCACCGGTAAATGCAAAGGCAAACTCCCCCCCCCCCCCCTCCAACCCGATAAAGGAAGGCCAAACATCAGATGGTGTCAAAACGATAGCAGGCGCCGACGAGAAGTACAGAGCGAGACGAGCATGAAGTTTCAACTGAATGTTTGTTTTCAGAAACAACAGCATAAGTTAATCGGTAGAAAGTCTGCGTTGAAGAAAAATAGCTTGCGTTTTAACGTCCCAAAGCTCCGATGTGATTATGAAAGACGCCGTAATACAGGACCTGGAAATTTATACCACCTAGGTTTCTTTAACGTGCACCTAGACCTAAGTACACGAGCCTCAAGCATTTTTGCATGGGGTCACCGCGACCG